TACATATATATACATATATATATATATATACATATATACATACATATATACATACATACGTGAATAATATATATATATATAATTAATACAATATATATAATACATATATATATATAAACGTGTACGTGTATAAATGAATTTGTATGCATGCATATGTTCACTAATGTAAACATTACGCGTTCAACAAAAAGAGAGTTAAATAATTGTGCAGTTACAGCATTGATAGATTGATTAATCGGTTGTCGCGTCGCTGTAATATATCCGACAATATTTAAAAATGAATATTTGAAAATACACTTAGAATATCGTCGACATTTAAATTATTCGTATCTTCAACAAAAGTGGATAAATATTCTATGTTCTATTCTATAACAACTACGGAAATAAATACAGAACATAGAAACCACTTATATGATCGAAGATGTCAACAAGATTTGGTGGTTATGTAACATGATGTGACGTAGTTTCTACACACGGAAAAACTATGGAACCCAATGACGACCACCATTCTCTAACAAACTCCGCCACCTTTCTACGGCACAGGTCGATTACTTATCTCCACCTTCGGACTCCATAATTGATCCCAGGTACAGTACTAGCAAAATTGCGACAAACAACAGCCCAGGTACAGTACTAGCAACATTGCGACAAACAACATACCTGTAAGTGTGCGGACACCCTGGAAAATGACCGCTGAAACGGCCATCACCGCAAAAATACCTCCGATAACAAACTGCTTCTCTCCAGGAGTGCTAGCTCCTGCCTCTGCGCGGGTTACTGAGTAGTCGTGACGGTACACTGCAACACGTGGCAATATATTTGGAAAATATCCGGTCAGATATATCTCATCAATTTACATGGTATATAAACATGTAAACTATAACATCCCCATAGAGTGAGTAAACAATAGCATCCCCCTATAGCGAGTAAATCATAGCATCTCCATAGAGTAAGTATAGTGAGTAAACTATAGTGTCTCCATAGAGTGGCGTGCAGTGCGACATATTCACACTCATTCTTGCATTGCGTGACGTCAAGGCGGGAAGACGACATAAGAGAACACAAAATAAAGCTAAACCAAAACAGACTCGTCTTCAATATCAGAATAAGCAAACTGTACCGTTCGAGATAACATCATTAGTCCTGCTGTGTAGGACTAGCTCTTTCAAATTTGAAAGTCCCGACCTGATTTTAAACCGTACGCTCCAACGTAAGTTGCATTCCGATTTGGACTCAATCCACACAGCCCAAGCATGAAAGGCTATGCCCATTGTAACAAGACCCACTAAATAATGTGTTTACTATGCTTCCAAGATATGTGCTACTATGGCGCCTGTGAACTGCGCAGCAACCTCGAATCGAACACTCATAATTTCGCAAAAAAAAACTCTAACAAGGCAACTCGAGTGAAAAGAATTATACGTGTTGCTACATAAAACGAGCTTCAACTCTCCATATACTTGACAATTAAAGATATCGACTTGAATAATACATGCACCGCGGCTCTTTCTATACAAAAAAAAAACTGAAGCCCGTGACGGACACTGTTATACTGACAGGTCAAAATAGATACAAACGCCTTAGAAAACACGTGAGCAACAACCATGGGCAATCTTCTACATACTACACATACGCCATAACTTAATATAGAAATATCTCCTGTATTCAAACAATGAATAACTATATGATACTTACAGGCCTGCTTTTCGGCAATACTTAAGCCCTTCCAGTCGCCCTTGGCTAAGGAATCTAGCTTGGCGACATCTGCGTTGACCGCGACATCACTGCGCTTGGTCATAACATTTCGAGCAGTCAGTGCACGACGTGCAGCGATTTGAAATCGTGAAGCACTCATCCTGTATCTATGTGCGTCTGTATACGTGCCAACGTCTCTAACTGTTATATGCGCTGCAGCTTTTCTGAACTGGGGTGTGACGTGCTTTCGACTGTACTTATTAATAGTAGTAGTGTACTCCACAGACCATAATTGTTCCCAGCCAAAAATGTCCGAACACACCCGCTGCGACCCGCCTCATCGCTTTCAATAGTACAATGTCCAAACTATAGAAAAACACTGGCGTGTGCCCTGTGCGTCCGGCGGTGGGTCGGACTCTGACAGTCTGACTCTGGGAAGTGGGTCAGTGGGGACTACGACCCAATTTTGGGTGAATAGTTTTTTATCGAACTCTGCTTTTAGATATATATTTGTCTTGAGAAGTACCGAAGGAGCAATACAAAAATAGAATCAGCACATAGTTCTATCTTTAGAATTCACTCTCACTATTTTTGAATTTTGAAAATACATATGTGTGTTTTTATGTTTTTTTATGTTTTCTTTTAAAACAAAAATATGTCTGGGGCCCCCAGCTGGGCCCTGGCCCAGGGTATATATAGGCAAAGCAGAATCTATTGGGTAGTGACCAGGGCCAGGATTATGGAGGATTGGAGTCTGTGGTCACTGATCTCACTGAAAATATTCATAGCCTCTTTGTTTCTATGAAATATTGTGGACAAATATAAAATCATAGAATTCTAAAAATTGAACTAATCTAAAATGAATGAGGAGAGAAGAGTATAGAGTATTCTATAAAATATATAGAGTGGGACCATGCCTCTCTTTATAGACAGTAGGTATTGACAAAAAGAAGAGAGAAGAACGTAGCCCTTCTGGTGTTTTAGCATGTGAAACAACAACAACCGTTACGGTCTAGTAGAGGCCTTTTAGTGGCGCTTACATATAATAGACCTCCCTATTTTTGACGCGCAAAAGCAGGGCCCTCAATTTACAATAAGCCGGCAATATTACTATATATAAAAGTCTACTACTTGAGTTTGCCTGTGTCGACTGTCGAGCGTGTAGTGTACCGTTTATATCGGGACGGTGCTAGACGGACGAGGCCTCGAGGTGTGGTCTGTCGATTACCCAACCTAAGCACGGTGGCTTTCGACGTTTGGGCATATGGAAGTTCTTGGAGCTTGATCAGTGATAGCTGATAGAAGGGAGGTGACCGCTGAGGTAAACCGTTCTGAGTTATGAAGTTAGAGAGTATGTTAATGATGCGATAGTGGTCGCGAGCCGTTCGCTGCCAGAAGATTCTGATACCTCTGACGTCCAGCGGCCAGTATTCATAGCCTCTGATTTACTGATCCCTGCTTTGCGAAGGACTGTCAAACTTCCAATGCGTAAAGAGTGGTCACTGCAGTTTCTGTTGCCACAGACAGCAAGAATTTTACGGAACTAACGCGTGAATGTAGATTTGGTATATGAATCCGAATCGATGGAAAACAGGTGTAAAGATTCGGGTTATTGATGTGCGGGTGAGCTATTCAATCCGTGCGGGGTACGGACAGGCAGATGCACGCCATGTTTGCTGGTAGTTCAGGGGACTATAGTAGTTGTGGAGCGATCGAGGCTGGTTTTGAGATTGGTAACAAAACTTGTGCAAACTCATCGTAGTGGACCTGCACTCCCTTTCCGCGGTGTATGTGCAGATTATCGGAATAGCTTTCAAGGTCCGCGTTAACAGTCAGTTCACCGGATCGCATAACCGCCCATACGCCAATCAAGATGATTTTGTAAAGGCGAACCATTTGAAGGCCGTGCTTGTTGCGGAGGAAGAATGAGGTGAAGTGTGCAAGTATGATTACTGCAGTGAGCGGACGTTAGAGGCGAGTTGGTGTGACCTTACCCTTTGCGATTTTTTGACGTTGAATGTCCTTCGTAAATATCTATCAGGACCAAATACTAGCGAGCGAGTGGTCCCAAGTCGTGATTGCAGTTTAGAGCGTGAACGTAAAAAACGTGTACGTCCTTAAGCATCCAGCCAGCTAGAAAGTAAAATCCATGTGGGCAGCTTTTCATTGAGCACTAATGTGGGGTGGATGAGACGTTATGCTACGAGGAAATCTAAGAGCTGACGTTGGATACTGTGTGCTGTGGCGTTGGTGGAAGGTCGCGTGGCGTACGTGAACGTCTTGTACGAGCGATTCATTAGAGCTGTGACCAAGATATCTTAGCGTAAGTTATAGATGGCTTGCATGTGTCGGAGCCAAAGAGCAGGGGATTACCTACATAGATATTTTTTGAAGATGAATTAGTCTTCCTCATAATAGTGCTGTGGTGAAAAGAAAATGTACCCAGCATATTTGTTAATCATAAAGCATACATGCTCCAGGCGATGAGGTGTTTATTTGCCATATATAGCATGTGATACTGTGGTTGGCAAACCTCACTGTGGCTGGCGAGCCTATAGACGACTCTTCAGTACTTGTTCGTGTGCCAGAACTATTCCACAGATGGGTAGTGGTTGTGTATGCAGGTAGGTTGCAATGTGCGTGCTCTGTGCGTGCTGTGTCGTGAAATAGCGTCTACAATAGTGTTGCGAGGGCCATTCAGATACACACAACGTAAGTCGCAGTCGAAGTGGATTTCAACTTCGGTGAGTAGCCAAAGGAGATCGAGGATTCCAGAATGTTCGATGCTCTGGTTGCAATGTTCGCCACCGTGCCTTGGTTGTCACAGAGAATTGTGACTTTATGGCAAAAAATAGAGTCGCTGAGGACTGCAAACATATACCATCATGAGCTCGATGGCAGTGATTGAGTAAAGACTTTACGGGTTTGAAGTGGTCTTTTGATTAAAGTTGAGCTTCGAAGGACACACTTGAAATTTCATTTTCCAATATTTCCAAAAGTGTTCTAAATTGACTTTGATCGCTCCAATAGCCTGAGTATTTGGTATGACTCATTTACTTGGACCTATTTGAGACGATAGTAGATGTGGGATATTATAAACTAATTTTATAATCTCTGAACTACTACTTACAGGTTTTGGTCTTCCCGCCAATCTCCAAAATCCAATATGTAATCTTCGATGGATATTTCTATGTTTTAAACTATGTTACATAAACTAAGATATTATTTAAGTCAGTCAGGATTTAACAGTGATAGCGTGTATAAGAATGATCGGGACTGCCTCTTGGTAGGAGCCTTAATATCCTCGATCACACAGGACGTACCTCTAGCTGTTCTTTACTGAATAATTTTCACTACAAGTACTAAGTGTTCATGACCACATGTCTAATTTGTAGATAGACATAAGAACGTAAGTCAAGTTATTACATTAGCTCTGAAGAAATGATAAAATTAGAAAAAGACTTATTGGATTTTGGAGATTGGCGGGAAGACCAAAACCTGTAAGTGGTAGTTCAGAGATTATAAAATTAGTTTATAATACCCTACATCTACGATTGTCTCAAATAGGTCCCAGTAAATGAGTCATACCAAATACTCAGGCTATTGGAGCCATCAAAGTGAATTAGAACACTTTGGAATTATTGGAAAAAGAACTTGTATTAAAATATTTTAAATTCAATTAAAACCCAATATGTTATCTCATCTGATCTTGATATTTTAGACTGACCAGAGGCCGTATTTCCACATAGCCCCCAGTAGCTTTTAGGACTACGGACGTACGTGAAGGTACGATCTAGTTCGTAAAGCAAAAACCAAAGTAAAATGGTTTCGGTCATGGCTTATCGAGTAAGTATGTGCCTATATGTACGAGTTCAAGACTCATGTTGTACTCTATGTCGTGTAATATTTAGTCCAGTAACCGTTTCCGATGTAGGCGTCTTACGTTTATTACCTGGTAAGGTATTTGCCAAAGGTTGTTCTTCATTAGTAAGTAAGCTCGAAGAATTTTCTGCTCTGTTGGTAAGCAGATGAGAAAGTTTAATCACATAGGAAGTAGGTGGCAAATAGGGAATTTCGTATCCATCCAGGTTTGTAGTCACCTGAGGAAACCCTTTCCGTTTATCTCGTGTGTTCTTATGTAAACGCTCATTCCATTTCTTATTAAAAATACGAATGAAGTCGCGAGATTCACGAAACGCATCGGAGGTTAGCCACGCTACTGTCCCATCCATAAAACGGGTCTTGTAGTGTAAACTTCG